TAGGAAGCTCATCAATTGGTGTTCCATTTTTGGCGATTTCCAAGTTAGAACTGCTTCTACTGCGTCTGGATCTGGTCTGATGCCGTGTCTGTCCACCATCCTGCCCAAGTATTTTATCGAGTCCTTGAGTATCTCACACTTTGATGGTTTGCACTTCAGCCCCGACCTCTTCATACACGCAAATACTTCGTCAAGTCTCTCAATGTGGTCCTCCAGTGTGGGTGTCGCTATTACCACGTCATCCACATAGCACATTACCAGATTGCCATACTTCTTCGTCACGCCTATCAGCGCGTGTGCCATCAACCGCTGAAATGTGGCAGTGGCATTGCAAAGACCAAACGGCATCCGTTTCCATTGAAACAGACCCAACTCGCAGGCAAACCCTGTCTTGTCCCTGTCCGGCTTCCTGAGTGGTACCTGCCAAAAGGCCGAGCCTAAATCAAGAGTCGTAAAAAATTTTGCATCACCTAACTTTGAGAGACTCTCATCAATCCTAGGTATGGGATAGGCATCCTTCACCGTGACGGAGTTCAGGTATCGAAAGTCACAACAAAACCTCAACTGGTCGCCTTTCTTTTTGGCTATCACTTCTCCACACGCCCACAGTGGTTTGGATGGTTCTATCATGTCATACTCTAGTAGCGTTTCAATCTCCTTTCTACACGCATCCGATTTGTGTGGGGTCATGCGCCTCGCCCCCTCCCTGTGCGGTATTGCGTTTTCCTCAAGTTCTATTTCATGCTCAACAAAATTACAACACCCGATGTCTGCCTTATGTCTTGAAAAAGGTTCCTCGTTCCGTTCTAGTACGTCCTTGATGGCTTCGAGCTGTTCGTCCGTTAACTTGCCTGTTAAATGTTCAATTTCCGGTAAGACCGGTTTATCACTCTGCATTTCATCTAGTGTGGGCCGTTCTGGGAAATTCGAACAGCTCGATAGTCCATCGTCTGTCTCTGACTTAAGTGACTTCACAAGATCTGATGAACCTTTTATTTTCTTCAATCGTCTCAAGATACAAATTTTGATCTATGATTGGGACAATCAACAACTTCATTTTGCTTATGGTTTTCAGTCATTTCATATCGAGTTTTTACGGGTAAAGCATATCCCAGTTTCCTCCCCCTTTGTATCGTGATTGGCATGTCAAGGGTATTCAACAAGACACTCACGCAGAGACCGCTCTTCGTTATCGAGAAGGATCTTCCTAAAACAGCAGCACTTTGACTATTTGGATTTGGAACTATGCATACCTGCTTGTTGTCACTTAGCTCATTGTAATTTTTCATTCGTAAGCTTACAATCGCCGCTTCGTTCGCCTTTAGCCTCACTCTCCTACTCAAGAATATTGGTGCTTTGGTTTCAGTTGCCATTATTAAATTTACCGGTTTGTTTGCGTACCTCCTATCCGGGTTCCGTATCCTGAACATTGCGTTGCTTAGGTCAATCGCTACATCAAAGTTCCTGATGAAGTCTCTGCCTAAAATAAGTTGGTCAGACTCATCTAGGTTTTCTACCACAAGGAAGCTCATCCACAGGTTACGTTCCCCCAGATTCAGGGCTATTATCGGCGTTCTGCCCAACACCCGCAGCGCCCCTTTGTTTGCAGCTGATAACCGTATTCTTGAATCTATCAAATCATCTTTGTTGAAGCCCATTCGTTCCCAAGTTTCGATTGGTATGACACTCAAGACTGCTCCCGTATCAAGTAACCCACGTAACTGAGTCTTCTTACCACTTATGTCAAGCAAATGTGCTGTCACATCTGCCTCTGTCCCGATGTGCATTGCATCTTCCTCAAGCATGGCGCAGTGTCCAATCGATCTCACTTTCAACTCTTCTTTTCCCACGTAGATTTGCCCAATTAGATCTTCATCACATGTTATCATTGTTTTCGTATAGATGTTGATTCCATCTATATTTAGCATCACCTCATGTGGACCATAAGCTTCTGTGTACCTGTTATCTACTCGTACCGACTTGCTACCCCCTCTCGTGAGTATTGCCCTCAATGCTCTAGAAGTCGTTTGTGGGCTTATTCAACTCAAGTAATCTGCGTACACATCAATGTGCATGATTGTCTGGTCACTTGGTTCGCTCAAGTTTCTCGTTACTTTATGGCCGCCCACAGTGATTATTGACATTATTCTTGCCCCAACCTTTGTTATGCCAAATGGCATTCCTGTAACCATCTTTACAGTGTTGCAGTTTCCATTTTTTGTCGACCCCGCTGCAGCTTCTGGTATTGTTTGTGAGCAACTTAATGCTTTGTTCATTTTCTGTCTTTCGTTCTCTTGCTTCAGCCGTTGTTCTATTTCTTTCGCTGCCAGGTCCTGTTTCACTTTGTTGATAGCCTCCGCTGCCGCCTTCTCATAATTTATTTCTGGGGCGTTCCTTGCCGTGGCTTCTATTGCACTATTACATTGTGTTACAGCTTTCACTGTTTTCGTCGGCAGTTCCGCACTTGGTTTTTCTAGGTTTTTCGTCTCAAATTCACATTGTCTGTTTCTCTGGTTCTGTACCGCTGCTAGCGCCAACTTGTGTTTTGGATGACTCTGATTCTTGACCGCCTCCCAAAACAACGGACAGTCCATCCTGAAATGCCCCTCTTGGTTGCAGAAGAAACATCTTGCACCTATTTTGATGATCAAGCCACTATAGAACTCGTGTTCCTCCATCTGGCTCATATCTTCCTCATCGGGTGCATATCCCAAACTCTTCATGCCCTGTTTGTATGTCGTGCAATCCGCCACATGATGGTCAGCTGACCCACAGTTCGCGCATGATCTGCGTTTGTCCATGTCATCTCTGGGCTTGTACCATGACGACCTTTGTGGCTGACTCCCCCCTTGCGTATTCCTTATGTCTGAGTACGAGTATTTCTTGGTTTTCATTAGCATGTATTCTCTTGACTTCTGCCTCATCTCTTCTGGAGTTGGTGCACTGTCTTTCGACAATGTATAGTATGTTGCTAACATCGTTCTCAAGTCATCACTCTTTACCCCATCAATGAACTTTGAGGCGATGCTGAATTTCCTTCGATTGGTAGATTGTTCCGGGTCACTCCTTCTTCTCAAGCTTTCAAGATCATCTAGGAACCTGTCTATCGATTCATCGTCCCTTTGTCTTCTCTTTTTAAATCGCATCATCGCTTGATGACCCTTCATGCCTGAGCCGAATCGATTTAACAATATTTCAAAGATTTTATCCACTGTATCGCGTTCTTCTTCTTTCTTCGCAACCACGCATTTCAATGCCGTGCCTTCCAGGTTGCTCAGTATCGCTGTGCATGCTTGCCTCTCATCGTTGAAGTTTTCTTGTTCCAAGTGCAACCTCATGACTTCTACCCAAGTGTCAATGCATCCGTCTGAATCATCTTTGAATTCTTTTGGTTTCTTGAAAATTTTCCTGGATTTGTTGCTTCCTCTGTCACTCGAGTCGGTGTTCCTTGTAGCGAAGGCCTCTAGTGTCCTGTTCATCATTTCTCAGGTGCTTGCCCATGTCATGGCATCCGGTCCCACGTTGTTGTGAGTCGTGGAGTCTCCTGGACCACTTGTTGTGTTCGCTGTTCCACTTTTTATAATCGCCTTGGCCCCCACCGGTGCCGTACTTGCAGTCTCCCGTGTTACTGGTAACGGTGTTGACTGTCGTTTGTTCCTTTGTGGTTCCACGAAGTCAACTCTATTACCTTGTGTCCGCTCCGCCGCTGCCCTGTCTTGTGGTGCTGAATTCCTCAAGATAGCGTCTAACTTTGTCTGTATCGCACTTGAGCTCTCAGCCTGGTCCCTACTCATCGTATCCATTCTCGTTTCCAAACTCCCCAACTGGCTATTCACTGCGTCATATCGCTGCTTCATTTCTCGCATGTCTTTTCTGATGTTCTTGTCTCGCTCTCCATCAGTGGTTTCTACTTTGTCAGACATCTGCTGAAGCTTTTCCTCCGTTGCTCACATTTCTATCCTCTTCCATGTGCTTCAGTTTCTCATCTATCTGATCTAGCTTCGCCATGAAGTCGCTTAGCTCAAGAGTAGTTGTTCCATGGTCCGTCGCTGTCCTGTAGTCGGTCGCTGGTCCCGGTTTTTTCTGATCCTCGTTTTGGTCGGTCTCTGTCGTTCTCGTGGATACTGTTCCAAATGTTTTGCTTTTCTCGGCTTTCGTCTCCTCCACTGCTGCGTCTCTCGATCTCATTCCGACCGTCATCGCCAATTTTTCAGTAAAACACGTTTTCTTTTGAGACTCATCCTTCACCGTTTCTGGCGTGTCGCCTGTTGTGTCTTCCACGTTGTCTATCGGTGAGAACTCCATGGGTTTCGGGTTAGGTTCTTCCGCATTGGGCATCGGAGTTGACTCTGTCGTTTTCTTTCCCACTTCATCCACACTTTGATCCGGTGTCCCTAGTTCAATCTCGATGGTGGGTTCTACTTGTTCCCCTTCTGTGCCCTCTTTTGCTCTGTTCTCCGTGGTACTCCTCGTGCTGACCATACTAACTGAAAAGTTCTTCTTTGTTACCTTCGGACAAATTGATGTTGTTTTACGTAGCGACGAGTTATACTTTGTCTTCGCCTCGGTAGATCTTTTTTCAGCTACCGGTACCCTGCTCCGCCTCATTATTTACAATTGTTCCTATTTACAGTATTACTATCTACAAAATTCTACTCTAAGGTTAAAACCTCTTTTGACAAAATTTTATAAAAAGAAATTTACAATTTGCTAAAAACAACTTTTCCTGAGCTTTTGAAAATTCTATATGTTAGGATTGGATAGAGAATTTGATTTTGCAATTGGTTACTTCAACCTGACTTAGTACTCTCTTAGTACCCCCCAAGACTTTCTCTCTACTGTCCCAAGACTATTCAGTGTTGTCCCAGTACTTCTTGTTAGTGTCCCAAGACCACTGTCCCAAGACCCTTGCCCTAAGACTAGTATTGTGACCTCAGGTTCCTCCTTACAGTTTTCTTGAATCACGGGCTTATCATCTGCTAGTTTCTCGAGTAACCTCTTTAAGTCAGCGATTTCCAAGTTAGAACTGCTTCTACTGCGTCTGGATCTGGTCTGATGCCGTGTTTGTCCACCATCCTGCCCTAGTATTTTATCGACTCCTTGAGTATCTCACACTTTGATGGTTTGCACTTCAGCCCCGACCTCTTCATACACGCAAATACTTCGTCAAGTCTCTCAATGTGGTCATCTAGTGTGGGTGTCGCTATTACCACGTCATCCACGTAGCACATTACCAGATTGCCGTACTTTTTCGTCACGCCTATCAGCGCGTGTGCCATCAGCCGCTGAAACGTGGCAGTGGCATTGCAAAGTGCAAACGGCATCCGTTTCCATTGAAACAGACCCAACTCGCAGGCAAACCCTGTCTTGTCCCTGTCCTGTTTCCTGAGTGGTACCTGCCAAAAGGCCGAGCCTAACTCAAGAGTCGTAAAAAATTTTGCATCACCTAACTTCGAGAGACTCTCATCAATCCTAGGTATGGGATAGGCACCTTTCACCGTGACGGAGTTCAGGTATCGAAAGTCACAACAAAACCTCAACTGGTCGCCTTTCTTCTTGGCCATCACTACTCCACACGCCCACGGTGATTTGGATGGTTCTATCATGTCATACTCTAGTAGCGTTTCAATCTTCTTTCTACACGCATCCGATTTGTGTGGGGTCATGCGCCTCGCCCCCTCCCTGTGCGGTATTGCCTTTTCCTCGAGTTCTATTTCATGCTCAACAAAATTACAACACCCGATGTCTGCCTTATGTCTTGAAAAAGGTTCCTCGTTCCGTTCTAGTACGTCCTTGATGGCTTCGAGCTGTTCGTCCGTTAACTTGCCTGTTAAATGTTCAATTTCCGGTAAGACCGGTTTATCACTCTGCATTTCATCTAGTGTGGGCCGTTCTGGGAAATTCGAACAGCTCGATAGTCCATCGTCTGTCTCTGACTTAAGTGACTTCACAAGATCTGATGAACCTTTTATTTTCTTCAATCGTCTCAAGATACAAATTTTGTCCCTATGATTGGGACAATCAACAACTTCATTTTTCTTATGGTTTTCAGTCATTTCATATCGAGTTTTTACGGGTAAAGCATATCCCAGTTTCCTCCCCCTTTGTATCGTGATTGGCATGTCAAGGGTATTCAACAAGACACTCACGCAGAGACCGCTCTTCGTTATCGAGAAGGATCTTCCTAAAACAGCAGCACTTTGACTATTTGGATTTGGAACTATGCATACCTGCTTGTTGTCACTTAGCTCATTGTAATTTTTCATTCGTAAGCTTACAATCGCCGCTTCGTTCGCCTTTAGCCTCACTCTCCTACTCAAGAATATTGGTGCTTTGGTTTCATTTGCCATTATTAAATTTACCGGTTTGTTTGCGTACCTCCTATCCGGGTTCCGTATCCTGAACATTGCGTTGTTTAGGTCAATCGCTACATCAAAGTTCCTGATGAAGTCTCTGCCTAAAATAAGTTGGTCAGACTCATCTAGGTTTTCTACCACAAGGAAGCTCATCCACAGGTTACGTTCCCCCAGATTCAGGGCTATTATCGGCGTTCTGCCCAACACCCGCAGCGCCCCTTTGTTTGCAGCTGATAACCGTATTCTTGAATCTATCAAATCATCTTTGTTGAAGCCCATTCGTTCCCAAGTTTCGATTGGTATGACACTCAAGACTGCTCCCGTATCAAGTAACCCACGTAACTGAGTCTTCTTACCACTTATGTCAAGCACATGTGCTGTCACATCTGCCTCTGTCCCGATGTGCATTGCATCTTCCTCAAGCATGGCGCAGTGTCCAATCGATCTCACTTTCAACTCTTCTTTTCCCACGTAGATTTGCCCAATTAGATCTTCATCACATGTTATCATTGTTTTCGTATAGATGTTGATTCCATCTATATTTAGCATCACCTCATGTGGACCATAAGCTTCTGTGTACCTGTTATCTACTCGTACCGACTTGCTACCCCCTCTCGTGAGTATTGCCCTCAATGCTCTAGAAGTCGTTTGTGGGCTTATTCAACTCAAGTAATCTGCGTACACATCAATGTGCATGATTGTCTGGTCACTTGGTTCGCTCAAGTTTCTCGTTACTTTATGGCCGCCCACAGTGATTATTGACATTATTCTTGCCCCAATCTTTGTTATGCCAAATGGCATTCCTGTAACCATCTTTACAGTGTTGCAGTTTCCATTTTTTGTCGACCCCGCTGCAGCTTCTGGTATTGTTTGTGCGCAACTTAATGCTTTGTTCATTTTCTGTCTTTCGTTCTCTTGCTTCAGCCGTTGTTCTATTTCTTTCGCTGCCAGGTCCTGTTTCACTTTGTTGATAGCCTCCGCTGCCGCCTTCTCATAATTTATTTCTGGGGCGTTCCTTGCCGTGGCTTCTATTGCACTATTACATTGTGTTACAGCTTTCACTGTTTTCGTCGGCAGTTCCGCACTTGGTTTTTCTAGGTTTTTCGTCTCAAATTCACATTGTCTGTTTCTCTGGTTCTGTACCGCTGCTAGCGCCAACTTGTGTTTTGGATGACTCTGATTCTTGACCGCCTCCCAAAACAACGGACAGTCCATCCTGAAATGCCCCTCTTGGTTGCAGAAGAAACATCTTGCACCTATTTTGATGATCAAGCCACTATAGAACTCGTGTTCCTCCATCTGGCTCATATCTTCCTCATCGGGTGCATATCCCAAACTCTTCATGCCCTGTTTGTATGTCGTGCAATCCGCCACATGATGGTCAGCTGACCCACAGTTCGCGCATGATCTGCGTTTGTCCATGTCATCTCTGGGCTTGTACCATGACGACCTTTGTGGCTGACTCCCCCCTTGCGTATTCCTTATGTCTGAGTACGAGTATTTCTTGGTTTTCATTAGCATGTATTCTCTTGACTTCTGCCTCATCTCTTCTGGAGTTGGTGCACTGTCTTTCGACAATGTATAGTATGTTGCTAACATCGTTCTCAAGTCATCACTCTTTACCCCATCAATGAACTTTGAGGCGATGCTGAATTTCCTTCGATTGGTAGATTGTTCCGGGTCACTCCTTCTTCTCAAGCTTTCAAGATCATCTAGGAACCTGTCTATCGATTCATCGTCCCTTTGTCTTCTCTTTTTAAATCGCATCATCGCTTGATGACCCTTCATGCCTGAGCCGAATCGATTTAACAATATTTCAAAGATTTTGTCCACTGTATCGCGTTCTTCTTCTTTCTTCGCAACCACGCATTTCAATGCCGTGCCTTCCAGGTTGCTCAGTATCGCTGTGCATGCTTGCCTCTCATCGTTGAAGTTTTCTTGTTCCAAGTGCAACCTCATGACTTCTACCCAAGTGTCAATGCATCCGTCTGAATCATCTTTGAATTCTTTTGGTTTCTTGAAAATTTTCCTGGATTTGTTGCTTCCTCTGTCACTCGAGTCGGTGTTCCTTGTAGCGAAGGCCTCTAGTGTCCTGTTCATCATTTCTCAGGTGCTTGCCCATGTCATGGCATCCGGTCCCACGTTGTTGTGAGTCGTGGAGTCTCCTGGACCACTTGTTGTGTTCGCTGTTCCACTTTTTATAATCGCCTTGGCCCCCACCGGTGCCGTACTTGCAGTCTCCCGTGTTACTGGTAACGGTGTTGACTGTCGTTTGTTCCTTTGTGGTTCCACGAAGTCAACTCTATTACCTTGTGTCCGCTCCGCCGCTGCCCTGTCTTGTGGTGCTGAATTCCTCAAGATAGCGTCTAACTTTGTCTGTATCGCACTTGAGCTCTCAGCCTGGTCCCTACTCATCGTATCCATTCTCGTTTCCAAACTCCCCAACTGGCTATTCACTGCGTCATATCGCTGCTTCATTTCTCGCATGTCTTTTCTGATGTTCTTGTCTCGCTCTCCATCAGTGGTTTCTACTTTGTCAGACATCTGCTGAAGCTTTTCCTCCGTTGCTCTCGCTAGATGGAAATAGTTGTCCAGGTACTCATGTTTGTTGTTTCTCATTTCCTTCCTTATCACATTTCTATCCTCTTCCATGTGCTTCAGTTTCTCATCTATCTGATCTAGCTTCGCCATCAAGTCGCTTAGCTCAAGAGTAGTTGTTCCATGGTCCGTCGTTGTCCTGTAGTCGGTCGCTGGTCCCGGTTTTTTCTGATCCTCGTTTTGGTCGGTCTCTGTCGTTCTCGTGGATACTGTTCCAAATGTTTTGCTTTTCTCGGCTTTCGTCTCCTCCACTGTTGCGCCTCTCGATCTCATTCCGACCGTCATCGCCAATTTTTCAGTAAAACACGTTTTCTTTTGAGACTCATCCTTCACCGTTTCTGGCGTGTCGCCTGTTGTGTCTTCCACGTTGTCTATCGGTGAGAACTCCATGGGCTTCGGGTTAGGTTCTTCCGCATTGGGCATCGGAGTTGACTCTGTCGTTTTCTTTCCCACTTCATCCACACTTTGATCCGGTGTCCCTAGTTCAATATCGATGGTGGGTTCTACTTGTTCCCCTTCTGTGCCCTCTTTTGCTCTGTTCTCCGTGGTACTCCTCGTGCTGACCATACTAACTGAAAAATTCTTCTTTGTTACCTTCGGACACATTGATGTTGTTTTACGTAGCGACGAGTTATACTTTGTCTTCGCCTCGGTAGATCTTTTTTCAGCTACCGGTACCCTGCTCCGCCTCATTATTTACAATTGTTCCTATTTACAGTGTTACTATCTACAAAATTCTACTCTAAGGTTAAAACCTCTTTTGACAAAATTTTATAAAAAGAAATTTACAATTTGCTAAAAACAACTTTTCCTGAGCTTTTGAAAATTCTTTATGTTAGGATTGGATAGAGAATTTGATTTTGCAATTGGTTACTTCAACCTGACTTAGTACTCTCTTAGTACCCCCCAAGACTTTCTCTCTACTGTCCCAAGACTATTCAGTGTTGTCCCAGTACTTCTTGTTAGTGTCCCAAGACTACTGTCCCAAGACTAGTGGCCCAAGACTACTGTCCCAAGACCACTGTCCCAAGACTACTGTCCCAAGACTAGTGTCCCAAGACCACTGTCCCAAGACCACTGTCCCAAGACTAGTGTCCCAAGACCACTGACCCAAGACCACTGTCCCAAGACTACTGTCCCAAGACTAGTGTCCCAAGACCACTGTCCCAAGACCACTGTCCCAAGACTACTGTCCCAAGACTAGTGTCCCAAGACTACTGTCCCAAGACCACTGTCCCAAGACTACTGTCCCAAGACTAGTGTCCCAAGACCACTGTCCCAAGACCACTGTCCCAAGACTACTGTCCCAAGACCACTGTCCCAAGACTAGTGTCCCAAGACTGTTTCGTACCAAGACTGCTCTGGTCCAAGACTGTCCCAAGGCTGCACTGTCCCAAGACTGTCCCAAGACTGCTCTGTCCCGAGACTGTCCCAAGGCCGTGTTGCTCCAAGACTGTCCCCAGACTGCAATGTCCCAAGACTTCTTCGGTACTGTCCCAAGACTTGTCACTGAGTGTCTGGATATCGGATCTCTTCTTCTTCGTTGTAGGGACTCTTGAACCACTGTACCTTTTACCACCACTTGAGCTCTAGTAAAAAATTTCCCAAAATCCCTATCTTAATGGCCAAAACCCAAATACTAACCCCCCAGTATTTGTCTCCCTCTCGATGTTTGTGGCTATTTGAGACCCTAAATTCCTCGCAGGTATCTTGTGATCACCTGTTCGTTAAAATACCAACAACAAATTTTCACCAAAACGTAAAAATTTAAACTGGAAAAAATTTCAAAAGCAGAGAGATGAATTCTCCTTAAATTCAAGGTTGACCGATGTCAATCTTTGTCCGAAAAAATGTCTGGTACCCGATTGCCACGCGTTTTCCTCCCCCCTGCTAGCGATCATATGGGGTATCACAAAAACTGTCTATGTCCGTTCCCCCCTACCGATCCGACCAGGGTACCTACCTTAACCTGATTTTAAATTTGGATATCCGCTTCTTATAACCAACGCGTGTAAGTATCTAATGTAACTAAATCGACGATGCCGAACAATTAGTTACTCTAACGTGTCCCCCCTTTTTAAAAATTACAACCGCTAACCAGCCCCCCTTCTAACCTCCCCCCTCTTTAGCCCCCCTCTTAAGCCGAAAAATCCCTTAAGCGCCGGTGCTAAACCTCTCGAGAGAAAACCGTATACCTGTTTCCAGGCCTGCTTGTGTAAAAACTTCCTCAAAACAATGGGGCTCCGCTTATCCAATTTTACACTTATCTCCTATAATGTAATGTGGATTCTAACGATACCCGTTTGCCCAACTTGAGAACACCCCATGTGCGTCCTCTTGTAGTGATCCCGTGCTGGTTGTCTCTGTTCTGAACTTGACAGCAGGACCACCTTCCCACTTGGCTGGTCACCTCTTCCAGTCAAGTTTCCAGTCGGTTCAGCTCAGTCCTTCTGAACCACTTTCCCACTCTGCTGGTCACCTCTTCCAGTCAAGTCTCCTAGTGGTCCGGTTCGATCCCTGTGAACCACTTTCCCACTCGGCTGGTCACCCTTTCCAGTCAAGTCTCCTAGTGGTCCGGCTAGGTTGCAATCTATCTGAAAACCCTTAACAACGCCCCCCACTCGGGCACCTTTTTGAAGTCACTGGTTTAAATTGCTAGATTGATCGAAACGATCGGTCTTATAAAACAGTATGGGTATACTATTTAATTAATATAAAGGTTTGATCCAAATGATCCGGTATCAAAGTCACTGTCTTTTTGTTTTATGGTTTTTGTTCCTTTTTCTATACTTTTTTCTTGTTTTTGTTTCGCTTTGTGTCTTTTTGCTCGGGTTTTTGTCCCCCTAGTTACCCCCCCCCCCTTACTCGGTTAGCTAGGCCTCGTTCGGAGAGCGTACCAGGAAGTTTTCTCAAGTTTTCTTAAAAAGCTATCACGGTACGACCGGAAGTTTACACGTTCCCGCTGAACCGTACCACCGGTACTCTAGAATGGGCATGCAGCCCGGAGCTGTGTCAAGTGGGTTCGACTCCGTAGTCATGATGCCGTAAAAACACCCAGGAGCGCCATAAAAACACTATGTAACAGTCGCCCACTTCGGTCACATATGAGGCTTAAGAAAAATAGGCCCTATAACCATTGGCTCGAGAGTCAGGGACACTATCTCTTGTGTTTTTCTACCTCAAGAACGGTCGGAGCCAATTCGGTTCGCTTGCGACATGAGACTAGAACCCGTTACAGCTTAAAGGCCACTACCAAAATATCCCCCCACTCTAGAAAATAAGAACGTCCCTATACGTAGGTCTCGAGATACCCAAAATACACGAACGCCGTTAAAAACAGGGTCGGAACAATCCGTTAGGTGACTTTTTATTGGACAGTGGAACTTTGATCCATTTCAGATGGATCAACCTAAAACTCACCTTATCTCAACATAACAATCATAAAACACACTCGAGAAAACTAAATTAGGAACTCACATGTTGACGCACTCGAGTATAAGGAGTAATTAAATTAATGAGCAACTCGGGAATTAAATGAGATAACTTGATAAGTTCAATACTGATCAGTTTTAATAACAGAAATAAGTTTAGACTCTAGAATTGAAGTTTTAGTCTGAACCATTGGGACACTCAAGCTGTCCACCTTTCCGTTGAAGTTTCACTCTGGTTCAGTTTGAATAATTGCACTCTTTTCTCGTGATTATCTCTCCTCCTATTTCAGGATAAGACGGCTCTACTCGTGTCTTGTTTTGTATCTGGAAATCGCGAATAACAATTTCCTGCTGTTTTTTTAAGTTTTTTCCCGCAATTGTAAATTCGGTCGTTCTGATTTCTCACTTAATGTTTTCAGTTGCTGCGAGGAAACTGAGCATGACAGGCTCCATTCGAAATTTTGAAAAATAAAACTTCACTCCAAAATCACGTATTTTTGTGTCCCTCAAGGTCAAACTTCCAGATATGACCGACTGGCACAAGATTACCCAAGCCTTTCATGTCACCACAAAGTGATCAGTTCTCCTAGTTGATTAAAAACAGTCATGCAGGCTGGAATATTTAAATATACTCTTTACTCAAGCCTTTCTAAATAAATAGTAAGTGTCTCTAAAGCCACTAACTAAAATCAAAATGCAAGTTTATAAATGCAAATAATTCTTTAATGTTCAAAACTCAACTAAATGTTTCAGTTTTCAATTACAACTTGGTTGCTTGGTTTCTCACTTGAGTTTTTTCACACACATAAAACAATTCTGAGTTTTAACTTCTTCTTCTTCTTCGTCACTCCTTTGTTTCTCTTCTTTTCGTCGTTTAGAAGTTCTAAAACTTCTAAATTCTTCTAATTTTCTTTCTTTTTGCATCTTGTTCTTTCGACCATTTGTCAATGTTCCATCTCTTCCTCCTGTGACACTAACTCTGCATTTTCAGTTTCTGTATCTTGCAACACATCGTTAGCTATTCTGATGCTGTTGGAAGCAGTCCTCCAACACTTCTGCTCTTCTACCCTCCAACACTTCTGCTCTTCTACCCTCTTCTACCTTCTGCTCTTCTGCAACACATCGTTAGCTATTCTGATGCTGTAGGAAGCAGTCCTCCAACACTTCTGCTCTTCTACTACGTTCACTTGTCCTCGAAATTCTTTTTACAGCGGTGGTCACTGCATTCCGATGAGTCACGAAAGCTCGCTTGAAAGCTCCTGCTCCAATGTCCAGCTGATATCCACTGTACACTCTGCCGTGCTTCGACATGTGCTTTTTGGCATATTCGAACAACCATGCAGTCATGTTAGCTCTGAACCATGGCATCAATCGTCTTCTTGCCCCTATCTTTTTCACTTCCATCGGAATGTTTAGAATCTTGCACATTGTCTCAAAAAGATCTAAATCTTTTAGACAATCCAATTTCCGCAACTGTTCTCTCGTTGGCGCTTCCTGTCTATTGTTCTCTCTCACATGAGCTGCCAGCCATCGTATCGCCATCATAACTCCCACTATCACAATTGTTATGGGCCGTGATGAGTCTGGTAAACCCATGGAGAGCAGCTCTCCAGAGTCCCAGATCAACACCAAATTACTACGCTCGGGATACCACCAGGTCTGCAGCAAGCAGTGGCAGGGAAACTCGTCATGTGTCAACATGATGCTCCTCCAATTACGTTTTCCCGAAGCTTCCAGTAATGGTTCCACTTCCATCATCACTCGGTGGACTTCATCATTCTCGTCTACTGTATTGTAGTCTGTAACGGTTGATCCTCTCTGTTTCTGTCTCTCGAAGTCACTGAAGTTCCCACTCACGTATCCCACAGCAACTCGTTTTCGGACATTATCGTTAGTCTCACACAATTTGGCACTGAGAAGGCTTGATCCACGATCGTTCTCGTACTCTTTACATCCACAGCTACGAAATGCACCGGGTATCTGCTCTTGCACATTGGAGCCAATGTCGATCCCACCAAATATCGTGCTCCTGATGGTCTACAATAAGTCTCACTGTGTCTGATGTTCATTTCCGCCTCAATCGCTTCCCTCCATTTATTTTCCTTTGTGCTTCTGCTCAGTTTGCAAAACTCCTGG